TGTGGAGTCTCTTTCTTCACGGCCGCGACTGCGAGAGGGAACTGCAGTTTCTCTCTCTGTTTTCTCTCTGAACCATATCTCTGCTTGTAACATTACCGCGCCATTTTAATTAGAGTACCCATTTGAACATTATGCCAGAGACTCCATTGGTCTCATTTATCCTAAGCTTCTCTCCTGGATGCGAGAATAACGAACAAAGCTAATACTGCCCCGTCTAAGACACGATCTGACTTTCATTACATTTGTCTCGAGTGTTTCCTCAACTTAATGTGTTGCTTAAAATAATACTTCTGCATACAGTATGTGACACTGTGAGTGTTGCACGGCCAGATACGGCTCAGCTGACTCAGATAAGGAGATGATACATTATGATGTGATATGCCGCGGACTGTACTTCATGTTACTCTGATGCGGTTACTTATGTTGTGGCAGATATTTAAGTAAGCTTTCTTAACGCTAATGTTATAATAGTCAGATAGCTCTGAAGGTGATATTCTATTAATGTTCACGTTCACACAGTCGGAGATTTTGGCCGACCGTTTTTCCTGCAACGGCAGCTTTTCTGTATTTCCTTTATCAAAGAAGAAGAAGAACTCCGCACAGTTGATCTCTTATCCTGGAACCTATCCTGCTCCGGCGCAGGCTAGCCGTTCAGAATAAGTTATCTAGCCCGCTAAAAAGTGAACCAGCTTCGTAGTACCGGAAATCCCAGAAGTTAGCTTGCTAAACGAAAATCTCCATTCGTAGTATAGGCCCCAGGTTAGCCGCACAGCATAAGTTACCATGGAGATCTAGCCCGCTAGGGCCGGAAACACAGAGTTTTCCCTGAAGTTAGCTCGCTAAGCAAACATCCTGCTTCGTAGTGCAGGCCTCTGTATTCAGTGATGTCGTGTATTGTAACCATGTGGTGGTGTTTGTATTCATGCTTGTAGGATCTCCACCTGGCAAAGGGGCTATCGGTGAGAACTAGCCTTTTGGCTCATTCAAGTACATTTACATGTTTTTAATATGTTTATTAATATACACTGTCCCTTGTTTTAAATAAATCAATTCAATGGAATTTATTATTACCATTTGTTCCTCCAAATCTTGACCGCTTTCTCAGAAGTTTTGACTTTTCTTCTCAAATGTGTTATCTAAAAAGAACAGAGAGGGTGTGTGTGTGTGTAGGTGTAGGTGTGTGTGTGTGTGTGTGTGTGAGAGTGAGTGTATGTGTCGTGTTGCTCCCAGAGAACAACTAACAATGTGGTTTCTGCACCACAAGAGGCAGCAACACACTAAACTGTGTCTAGTGTGCCTGAACAGAGCCTGAAGAAGACCATTTCCCTTCCGGTGAGAGCTGTGACTCCAGCAGCTGATTATCCAACCGGTCATGGCGGAGAAAGGAGCAGAAGAGTCCGCTAAAGCCTCACCATCGTCGGCAGAGAAGCTGCTTCCCCGCCACAAGCAGGATCTGGACTACTGGAAGAGGAACGCAGCGCGCCTGCGCACAAGGAACCTGGGCACCGGTCTGCTGATAGGCGCGTTTGTTGTCGGCATGTGTATCCTTCAGTGGGGCAAAGTCACTAACAAGTACTGCACTGAAGTACAACTGAGAAGTACTCTACCTGAGAGTGTTAGGCTGTATAGAGACTCAAATACTTCAATTTCTGTGGTTTTACTATTATCGTGATTTTTTTCCAGGAGTGCAAAGTAACTAACCAAAGCACTGCAGGTTCCTCACGTTCTCACCAGAGAGCAGGAATATACATTTAGCTGCGCAGCTTAAGTGTATCGATAAACAACTTATTTAAACAAAATTTGGTGAATTTAAATGTAAATTTGGTCAAATTTAAACATTAAATATCATGTATTTTTGCATTATCACTGTTTGTCACCAGAGGACGCCAGAGCCCATGTCAATAATAATGCATGAAGCAAAATGCAATGTCCCCCCCTAGATAAGTGTATGCAAAGTACTGCACTGAAGTACAACTGTGAAGTACTATACCTGAGTGTTTTAGGGAAAGGTTGTAGAAGTACTCAGAGGTATTTGGGTAAAAGTAGAAGTACTCAGATCTTGTACTTGAGTAAAAGTAGAGGTACTCAGATCTTGTACTTGAGTAAAAGTAGAAGTACCAGAGTGTAGGAATACTCTGTTACAGTAAAAGTCTTGCATTCAAAATCTTCCTCAAGTAAAAGTAGAAAAGTCTTGAATCACCAGACACCAGGAATGTTAATGTTCAATTTGCTGAGTGGCTCAATCTAATCTCTAATACACTTTAATTAAGTTAATTTAAATGTGTATTTGGTCCAATTTAAACTAAAGTTGTCATGTATTTCTACATTATCGCTGTTTGCCACCAGAGGGCGCCAGAGCCCATGTAATAATGCATATTGCCTCTGCAGTGTAACACGCATTTTGTTGAACTGTTATTTAAATATTGATTTTTTTTAAACTTAGCATTTTACAGCCTTAGTATACAAACAACTGAAATTGAAAGTTGCTAAAATAATACTTAAAATATTATAAACAAATAAAAAGCAGGTATTCTTAGTTTCATTTGAAAGGATAAGAAAGATTACAATTCTTTATTTCATACTTTCAACAGATGAAATGACCATTCATTTCCCCTGTAGATGAAGAAGCATGCCCCACTTAATCCTCACTTCAGTCAGTCACACTTTTTGGTGTTTGGATGGGATTAGTTGACACCGATTATTAGCAGACATTCCTAAACATACTACCGAATGCTTAACTCTCAATCCATCATGAAGACAACAGACGATAGAAAACAACTTTGCTCTTATCAGGAAACCTTATCGCTTTACATTTAGAAAATAAAGCTCATACCTCAGTAGGTAAATATATGTCAAATTATTCATCATCATCATGTATTATTGAGAATATGAATATCTTTATACACCACTTCATATTGAAATATAACCATTTTTTATGTAACTCTTATCTTTAATTGCACATTTTAACTTTACATTCTCATGTTACACTGAAAAAACTGAAACGTTGACTTTAATCAAATGTATTATGTCAACAGATTCCACGTAACTGTATTAGTTAGTTCAAAGCAATAATATTAAGTTTAGATAAAAAAGTATTAGGTTCAACTTAATATTATTGCCTTCCACTAACCTAATACAGTTATGTGAAATGTGTTGACAAAATACATTTAATTAAAGTTTTTTCAGTATACCATAAATATTTGTATTGCATTTCTCTACTCATAGCACATTTCTATTTTAACAGCTAATTTTTTTATCCCATTTCATTTAGTCTGTATGATTATCCACCAGAATCAAGACCCTAGGTGGTCTAGATCCTAAGCTACTGTTAAAATAACAATCAATGGCAGACATTTTCAAAATTGGTTCCATTGGACAAATATGCGATGGCCCTATAGCCACACATCTCGCTGAGGGCATGCTCTAACAGTGTGCCAACGTTCATGTTTTTATCATCAAAAGCACAATTCTTTCACATATCTGCTGGACTGTTATGCATATTTTTGACATTTCCATTTCCCCGGGATAATGAAATGTTGTGGTTCTTAAGGATGCAGTTGCTGTTGCTTTTCTTTGACCTGCAGCTGTTCAGTCAGCTACACCATCCTGTCCGTCAAACAGGAGCGAGTCCTGGAGGAGCTGGACGACGAGGCCAGGGTCCGCATCATGAGAGTGCCTCCCACCGGAACCAACTCCTGATCCAACTCCCGGTCCAACTCCTGAACCAGCCCACTCTCAGCCATCTGGAACCAAGGCCTACACCAACTTTCCCCACATCCCACCCCCAGGCCTACACATGAAGCTCAGTGCAAGTTATTTCACTCCGCAGCTGCAAATAATCAGCTCATCAACATTTCCTCAGTGGGGCAAAGTCACTGACACAAGCACTGCAGGTTCCTCAAGCTCTCATCAGAGAGCAGGAATATACTCTTTGCTGAGCAGCTCAATCTAATCTATAAACAGCCTATTTCAAAAGTGAATGTAAATGTGGTCCAATTTAAACATTGAATATCATGTATTTTTACATTATCACTGTTTGTCACCTGAGTCAATAATCATGCATGCAGCAAAATACAAGACCCCCCTTCTCATGTTACCATAAGTTATTGTGACGATTTTGACGAATATTGCAATTGTGTTATCAAGGACGTTCTTAGAGAGGCGGACCATTGTTCTCATTGTAATATAAAAATATATTATATATTAACCAATGTATTATGTTGACGTTTAACCCGTTGGTACTGTTTAGGTTCGAATAAAATAAAAACAGTCAATTCACCTTCCTTAACATATATTGTCTTTCTCTCAATTCCCGATATACTGTATACCCAATACCCCTCCTCGACTCCTCCTTTCCCTCACTCGCGTCCCTTCCTTGCATCTTAGCTCCGCCTCCGTAAGATGCGAGCAAGAGACACGAGGAGGTGACGCGAGGACAGAGGAGTCCTCAGGTATTCATTGGGATGTCCTCGTTCACTCAAACGTCACTCTTAAACGACGTCTGTTAATGATGACATGTGCACAGCTGTATCCCCTCTCATCGGGCTGAACTGAATAACTCTTTAGAACCGGCCCATTTCTGGTTAAATATTTATTTAAATGAATCTTTCTCTTGTTAGTAAAGGAATTCAATGTATGATGGTTGGTCCTGCTTTTGTGTTCCGTTTTGGTGTAAAATGTAGCCTACATTTAAATACAAATATAATTATAGTAATGTGAAGCCTTTTAGAAATGAATTGCTCATAATAATTCCCACGGAGCTGTGAGCACTTATACATTTATGTGACGCTTTTCCACTCATCTTCCAGTTGTCGGTTTTCCTCTGTTGAAATGGACCAGCTGTGAAGGTGGGGGCGGGGCCAGCTGTGAAGGTGGGAACGGGGCTTTTATTTGAGTAGTGAAAACACTTCCGCGTAGTCTGCTCGCGTGTATCCTCCCTTTCGTCTCCTCCCGCACCCCTCCTCCCTCACCCCTCCTCGACTCCTCCGTGTGCATTTCAGCTTTTGGAACGTCCTTCAAAATGGCGTGTCTTGATCGATTTCCGGGTCAAGTCCCGGAGGAGGGGAAGGCCCTGTCTCAGGTCGACTATTTTCATTTCCTCGCTCCTCGGTCCTCGGTCTCACCGGAAGTTGATTTGTCTGCGCCATCTTGAGTACCGTCCCACGGCTCTTATTTCTGCCGAGGAACGAGGAGCGATAATGGAGGAGCTATAACCGAGGAACCACCAGACCATCCTCCGATGAAATCCTCACACTCGCCCCGCCCCCTTACTGTGTATCGCTCACTGATTGGACGATGCAGTGCATGCACTGATCTCATGCTTCTTGTTCTTGACATGAGAGCAGTTTCCCAGCGGAGTGAAGAAAATACATGAACCTCACGGGACTCACTGCTCAGTTTAAACTGTGTTTTGTTTCAATTCATGTTTCATTTAGTTACAAATATGTGATATATCTGAACAACAAAGTGGTCAAAAATCATTTTATTCATTTTTTGGAAACATTTTCATGATCGCTTTTTTCGTTTTACATTTTCATTTATTGTCATTTCCATTCAGTCAGTCATTAAGTGCTATTCAATGTTAATGTGCTAAATATCCACACAAACAAACAAAGTGTGCAATCCAATGAATTTTAATTTAACTGGGTTTTGATATATAACATATCTCTTTTTCTTCTCTGAATTATTTTATTTCTATTGTGCACTCTAATCAATATTAATCAAACTATTGTTCGTTTATACATTTTAAGAATGGCTTTTTATCTTTTTTGAGAATGAGTTCTTATTTGATTTGATTTATTGGGGTCTACAACAGATGATACAAATGTTTGTGTCAGTAAATGTGTACTAACAGAGGACCGAGGATTGAGGAGCGAGGAGCGAGTGTTTGTGAAAAT